GAAAGAAAGAAAGAAAGAAAGAAAGAAAGAAAGAAAGAAAGAAAGAAAGAAAGAAAGAAAGAAAGAAAGAAAGAAAGAAAGAAAGAAAGAAAGAAAGAAAGAAAAGAAAAGGGGGGGGGAAAGGTCTAGTTTGGGGTTTCTCATGCCTAATATAACTTTTTATGAAATACAAGTTCTTATCTTCAGAAGGAAAAAAAAGCTTTTGTGATCAAATAAACTTAAGAAATTTGCATCTCCCAAATTGCTAAATCTCCTTTTTGACCATTTGTATTAAAACTAGAGGCCTGGTGCAAGAAATTTGTGAACTGGGGAGGTGGGGGGATGTCCCTCAGGCCAGCCTGCACCCTCTCAAATCTGGGACCCCTTGGGGGATGTCTGAATGCTGGTTTATGCCTGATCCCACAGGGATTGGGCTTAAACTAGCAGTCAAACATCACTCTCACAATCCGGGACTGCTGGCTTCCAACTGCTCTACCCCTGCCTGATCTACCCCTAATCACTCCCCTGCCAGCTTGATTGCCCCCTACTGCCTTCCCCTGCTGGCCTGGTCATCCCTAACTGCCCTCCCCTGCTGGCCTGATCATCCACAACTACCCTGCTCTTCTGGCCATCTTGTAGTGGCATCTTTGACCACATGGGCGCAGCCATCTTGTGCAAGGGTGTGAGGGTCAATTTGCATATTACTTCTTTATTATATAGGATATATGAAAATTATAGGGGGGGATAGAACCTCCTTGACTTTAACAATGAAACCAAACTTTTGTTGTACTGTGGGCATCTTTATAGTTGGTCATCTCTTAATAACTCTCAGAAGAATTTGGTTGGAAACCCCATGGTTTAAATAAACTCCTACTTTTCTAACCTGAACTTTATCACTTAAATTAATTGCAATCTGATCTAGTACATGATTGAGCCCTGGTAAGGTTATCCAAAGCCAGATCCCTATATAGGAGAATCACCCAGTGAACTTGTTAAAATGTATATTCTTAAGCTTTATGTCCAGAAATTCTGGTTCACAGGTCTGAGGTAAGGTCCAGGATTGCCCATCCCCACCTTTAAAATGAGTTAATTAAGATATAATTTACATACTGCAGAATTTACCCACTGTAGGTAAATGATTTAATGATTTTTTAATGCAAATTTTTAGCATTGGGCAACCAGAACTAGCATCATTTTACAGTATTATTTTTTTCAGTATAGTTTTATTGATTTCAGGGAGGAAGGGAGAGGGAAAGAGAGGAGCATCAATGAGAGTCATTTATCAGCTGCCTCTTGCACACCCCTTACTGGAGATCAAGCCCACAGTGTGGGCATGTGCCCTTGACCAGAATCAAACACAGGTCCCCTCAATCTGCAGGCTGATGCTCTAACCACTGAGATAAAATGGCTAGGGCAATATTTCTATTATTTCAAAAAGTTTGTTTGCTCAATCTCTGCTCCTAACCTAAGCATTAGACAATCACATAATCTGATTTATTTCTCTCAATATATTTATCTTGTCTGGGCATTTCTTATAAATTAAACTATACAATATTTAATTTTGATTCACCAGTTGATAGACATTTGGATTTCTAATTTTTTGCTATTATGAATAATGCTTCTATGAACTTTCTTTGTGTGGGAATATTTTGTCACTTCTCTTGGATGGATTCCTTGGAATGGAATTCCGAATTTTACAGTAAAACTGAGAAACTGCCAGTTATTTTCCAAATTGTCTATACCATTTTACATTTCTATCAGCAATGAAGAGTTTTTCAGTTTCTCCACACACTTGCCAACATTTAGTATTGTCTGTTGTTTTAATTATAGCCATTCTAGTAGATATATAAGGGAATCTCATTGTGTTTTTAATTTGCATTTTCCTAATGATTAGTGTGCATGTTAGCTATTATATGTCTTCTTTGGAAAAATGTCTAAGTCTTTTGCCAACTTTTAACTTGGGTTGTTTGTCATCTTATTGAGTTGTAAAGTTCCTTATATTTTCTAGATGCAAGTCCTTTATCAGATACTAGGGGCCCAGTGCACACATTCCTGCATCTTGAAAGGAACTGTGGGCCTCAAGGCTGCAGTGGAGAAAGGGGAGTTGTGGCCCATCCTCTGTGCCCCCATCTGGCCCCTCCCACTGTGGCTACTAGTCCCCTGTCTGCTGACAGCCCCGCTCCCACCGCCACCACTCACATGTGCTGATGGCACCAGCCTCGCTGACACCTGCTGACAGCACAGAGCAATTGGAGCCTGCACCAGCAGCAGGTACAAATGGCAGCTGCTGCCCCAATCACCCATCAGGAGCAGGGGGAGGTGGAGAAGCCATCAGGGGTAATCAGGACTGGTGGCAGCACTGCTCACACTCACTGATGGCACTGAGCAATCGGGACTGGTACCAGGAGCCAGCAGTGGGTGCGAGCACCTGGTGGGACAGTGGTGAGTGGGAGCAAAAATTTTTCAGTAACCACCAGAGAGGCTCACCCCCATGACAGTCTTGGTCTGGTGCCTCCACTCACCTGCTCCATCATCTTACCATGGCCAACACCCACCATGTTCCGCATGCACCCCCTAGTGGTCAGCGCTAGACATAGCAACCAGTTGTTTGGTTGTTCAGTTGTTGTTTCCCCATTCAGTTTATTTGCATATTAGAGTTTTATATAGAGAGATATGATTTGTAAGTACTTTCCCTCAGTTTAAGGCTTGTCTTTTCATTTTCTTATTGACATCTTTTGAGAAGAATGTTAGATGGAGATGGAGAATTCTATAAATGTCAATTAGACCCAGTTGGTTAATGGTATTGTTCAGTTCAGCTATATCCATACTTGTTTTGTACTTGCTGGATCTGTCAGTTTCTGAGAGAGGGGTTTTAAAGTCTCCAACCGCAATAGTGATTCACCTATTTCTTCTTACAGTTCTGTCAGTGTTTAAATACTTCTGTTAGGATTCTTATGTCTTCTTAGAGAATTGACCTCTCTATTATGTAATGTTCCTCTTTATTCCTGATCATTTCCTTGCTCTTAAGTCTGCTTTACCTGAAATTAATATAACAACTACACAACTACAGCTTCCTTTTAATTGATGTTAAAATGGTATGTCTTTATCCTTTTTGTCTTTCTGTGTCTTCAGGTTTAAAGTGTGTTTTTTGCCGATAACATAAATTAGCGCTTGACTTTTTATCCACTCTAACAGTCTTTACTTTTTAATTGTTATATATAGACAACTGACATTTAAAGTGATTATTGTTATAGTTTAATATTGATAATATATGTAACTATTCCCTACTTATTGCTTGTTCTTCTCCTCTTTTTTTTTTTTTTTTTTTTTTTTTTTTCTTTCATTCTGTGAAATATATGTCCCCCACAATGTTTGGTCTTTGATGATGTGCAGTTTATTTTTATTCTTTTTAAGTCTCATTTACTAGGGTCCACTCCTCTGTCTGAATAGCTTACCCTTCAGCCTTAAATTAGTTATAAATTGTACTTAAACAGCTGGAGCCATTAAGGTTTCCATGTGGACACAAGATGGCCACCACAAGATGGCCAGCAGGAGAGGGCAGTTGGGAGGGACCAGGCCTGCAAGGGAGGGCAGTTGGAGGTGGTCAACCCTACAAAGGAGGGCAGTTAGGGGTGACCAGGTTGACAGAGAAGAGAAGTTGGGGTGACCAGGCCTACAGGGAAGGGCAGTTGGGTAGGACCCAGGCCTGCAGGGAAGAGCAGTTGGAGAGGGACCAGGCCTGCAAGGAAGGGCAGTTAGAAGTGATCAGGCCTGCAGGGGAGGACAGGTAGGGGCAATCAGGCTGGCAGGGGAGTGGTTAGGGGGTGATCAGGCTGGCAGGCAGAAGCAGTTAGAGGCAATCAGGAAGGCTGGCTGGCAAGCATTTGGGAGCCAGCAGTCCTGGATTGTGAGAAGGATGTCCAACTGCCCATTTAGACCTGATCCTACCAGGCAGTCGGACATCTCTCAGGGGGTCCCAGATTGGAGAGGGTGCAGGCTGGGCTGAGGGACATGCACAAATTTTGCTCACCAGGCCTCTAGTATTGTAATAATTATGTATGATGTCAGATGGACACTAGACTTATGGTGGTGTTCACCTTGTAAGATATATAAACTAGAGGCCAGGTGCACAAAATTTCGTATACTGTGGGGGAGTCCCTCAGCCTGGCTTGTGCCTTCTCACAGTCTGGGACCCCTTGTTCCTTACCACCTGTCTGCAGTGGAGGCAGGAGAGGCTCTTGCCACCACCTGATATACTCACCAGCTGTGAGCCCAGATTTTGGCTGAGTGATGCTCCCCCTGTGGAATGCACTGAGCACCAGGGGACAGCTCCTGCATTGAGCATCTGCCTCCTGGTGGTCAGTGCACATCATAGTGACCTGTCCTTCTGCCATTCAGTCAATTTGTATATTAGGGTTTTATTATATAGGATACCTAATCACTTTGTTGTATACCTGAAAGTAATATTGTATGTCAATTGTAAGTAAAACATTTTTGAATTAAAGTAATTTTTAAAAACAAAAGAGGAATTAAAATGTATATAATATATAAAATGTATTATGTAATTAAATAATGTATGTCAATCATTCATAATATAATGTTTTATATATATTCAGATCATTCAGCTTATTTGTTTTAAATCTAATTCTATTTGTAGTTTCAGTAAGGATGTACCTTAGATCCTGCCTCTATTTAAGGTTTTAATGTTGTATGGATGCATGAAAAATGGACTTCTAGACATGAAACAATGAGAAAAAAACACAATGAAAGTTCCAAATTAGGTACTGGGTACCAACCCAAGGTTGCATCATTGCATAACTCCAAGAGGCATCATTCACATTGCATTCCCTGGAAATGGTGCCTGCTGGAATTGTACTCTGGGGCACCTTTCACATAGGTAATGTGTTATCTTTGTGAAATAGAAGGCAAATGTTGTTATTTTGGTAGTTACTAAGGGATTTTTCCTCCAGTCTCCTCTAATGTTGCAAGGTGGGTGAGTCATTCTCCATTTCCTTTCTCCATGCCATAAAGTGAGCATGCTATCAGCAAATGCCATCACGGCATTAAGCTTAACCACTAGCCTCTCTGGTGATAAAATAACAACACCCATGACTTGACTTTATAGCTTACACCTTAATCATTTTTGTGACACAGAGGAGTAACAATGTGCTATTGATGATGTAATTGTCAGAAATATGTTTTGAACACTCTCTTTGTCAAACTTGAACAAAGCTGCTTTATCTGCAGGCTTCTGTCTCCCAAGCTCTTCTCCACGTTTTCTTGCGTAATCTAATATGCATAGTACATCATGCATTTTTCTAAAAGGAACAAAAATATTCAGAGATAGTTATGGCTTAACATATCTTTTCATTCCTTCTTTCAGAATTGAGCAGCTGGCTAAGGATCTTATTGAAGATGTAGATGCTGTGACCTTATGATCCTGTGTATGCTTAAAGGAGGTTACAAGTTTTGTGCGGATCTTAAAGAGCACCTTAAGAACATCAAAGTTCAGATAGATATGTCTCTACAAAGGTTGATTTCATCAGACTAAAAAGTTACAGGGTAAGTTATTACTTCATTGTCATTATATGACCTTTCGAATGAATAACTTTATAGAATAAAAGAACTAATAATGTTATGAAAACTAAGATTATAATTCTTTTAAATTTGCAAGATACTGTAACCTGCCATTCAAATATACAGTGGTGCCTCGCATAAAGAACGCCTCGCACAGCGAACGCTGCACACAACGAACTTCATTTCATGATTCATACAACGAACTTCGTTTCACACAACGAAGTCGCCCGAGCTTCCACGACCGCTTTGCCCGAGCTTCCACGACTGCTTCGCCCGAGCTTCCACGATCGCTGCCGATGTATTGCATCCTTCTGCGCAGGCACTGCAGGCAGTCGTTAGTCACTGTGCTTAACTTAAGCACGTATCGCGGCAATCATTCTTCATTACGAATTAAATCACGCACGTATCACGGCAGTTGTCCTTTTAAGTTAAACTCAATATTTTTTTTATATCATGGCTTCTAAAAAAAAGCAGGAAGGTGATTTCTGTTGAAATGAAACAGGAAATAATTAGAAGGAGTGAATGTGGGGTAAAACAGTGTGACCTCATCAAAGAGTTTGGCCTCAGCAAGACCACCATTTTCACCATTTTGACAAATAAGGATGCAATCAAATCAGCCAAAGTAGCCAAAGGAGTATCAAAACTATTTCATGAAAAACATAGGTCTTCAATCCACGAGGAAATGGAGAGGCTATTAGCGATTTGGATTAAGGACAGGCAGGTGAAAGGTGACGTAACAACCCAAGATATTATCTGTCACAAAGCCAAGAGAATTTATGACGATCTAAAGAAAAACGTCCCTGGAAGTAGCAGCAATTAAGATAATGAAGAAGAATTCAAAGCCAGCAGGGGGTGGTTTTTTAGATTTAAGAAAAGGTGTGGAATCCACAGCGTTACTATGCATGGTGAGGCTGGCAGTGCTGACAAGAAAGAAGCAGAAAAGTTCTCTATTAACTTTCAAAAATGTATTAAGGATGAAGGATACTGCCCACAACAAGTGTTCAATGCCGATGAAACGGGTCTTTTCTGGAAAAGAATGCCGAGCAGAACCTTCATTACAAAAGAGGAGAAGAAATTGCCAGGACACAAAGCCATGAAGGACAGACTTACCCTTATGTTTTCGTCTAATGCCAGCGGAGACCTCAAGATCAAACCTCTATTGGTTTATCACTCTGAAAATCCAAGAATTTTCAAGAAAAATAACGTTATTAAGTCCAAACTGCCCGTCCATTGGAAGTCCAATCAAAAAGCCTGGGTGACCCAAGTTATCTTCAACGAATGGATTCTGGAAACCTTTGCTCCTGCCGTGAAGAAATTCTTGCTGGAAAAAGAACTGCCGCTCAAAGCCCTTCTGATACTGTACTTGACAATGCCCCTTCTCACCCAAAAGACCTAGAGGAAATATTGCAGGAAAATTATCCTTTTATCAAGGTGCAGTATTTGCCACCAAACACCACATCCATTCTTCAGCCAATGGATCAGCAAGTTATTGCGAACTTTAAAAGACTCTACACTAGAGCCCTCTTTAATAAGGTGTTTGAAGAATGCGAGTTTGGTGGAGACAATATGACTGTCCGAAAGTTTTGGAAGGAGAAATTTGATGTCCTTATGGCAATACGACTTATACAGAAGGCCTGGGAAGAAGTGTCACAAAGGACCCTCATTTCTGCTTGGAAGATGCTTGTGCCTTCGTGGACCCAGGAAGAAGCAGTAGTTGATGACACAGAAGTGGTGAAGGACATCATCACAGTGGCCCAAAGGTTGGAATTAGAGGTAGAGGAAGAGGATGTAGAGGAGCTTATTGAGGAACACGAAGAAGAGCTGACAACTGAAGAGCTCCAAGCACTTCTGGTCCAGCAACAGGACAATGCTCAAAGGGAAGCGTCATCTGATAACGAGGAGCAACAATCAAACAATCAACCAATCCCAACTGCTGACATCAAGAACATCCTGGTCAAATGGAAAGCAGTTCAGGAGTTTACCAATGCCCACTATCCGGATTCAGCTGAAGCAAACAGGATCAACGATCTTTACTCCGATTCTCTTGTCCGTCATTTCCGGCAGATTTTGGAGAAAAGAGAAAAACAAATGACTTTGGACAGGTTTTTCATGAAACCATCGGCCAAAAAGCAGAAAATGGATGAAGATGTGCAAGATTCTGTAGACTCTACTTAGTCTGTCTTAAAATTAAAAAAATGTGTGTGTTTTTTTTAAAAAGTTATGTTTTTAGATGTATCTAAATAAAAATAATAACAAAAAATTTATCTTTTTTTATGTCATCTTAGCATATTTTATGCTACAGAACGAATTATTTTTTTTTTAACATGTATTGTTATGGGAAAACACGTTTCACATAACGAACTTTTGGCATAACAAACTTGCTCCTGGAACGAATTAAGTTCGTTGTGTGAGGCACCACTGTAATAGTATTGTTTAGGGTGCAGTGGGACTCCTGCTATCTATTTTAATCTGTATGGAAGGATGCTTCAGGAATGATTCATGTTTCTTTTGTGGTTATAAAGTTGAGTGGTTATTTCCTGGTGTCCAGCTTAACAAGTGAGTGTGTTAAGAAGTGTTAAGGAAGTCCAGTGAACCCTGCCCTGGTTGTTACTGCTGTCCCTGGAGACTTGTGTGAGAGTGTTGAGCCCAGAGAGGAGAGTGTTAATACTTGAATGATTGCAGTCATGGCCTTGATGTAGAGAAGGGAAGGCTTAGGATCAGTGAGTTACTATGTACAATGAGACAAGACTAGGGGGCCCTTCACTTGTCTATGCTGGGCTCTCTTGGCCACCACTGAACAGAATTATTCTCCAGAGATGTCATCTCCTTAGCCTTCACCTCTTCTCTCTATGATGCTACCTTTTGTGATGCTTTTCCATTCAGTGCAAGTCATTAAAACTGCCTTACTTTGGGGTGAAGAACTATTGGAGACACAACCCTGAGAGTATTCACATTGATTAAACTAGCTTGCACAATTTAATTCACCCTTTGAATTGGTTTTTTACTGCTTTATGATAAAATTGCCATGAACCTAGTGGCTTAAAGCAACATTTATCATGTTATTATTAGAAGTATGGGCATTGGTTCTCTGCTCAGTCTTTCCAAAAGAAATTAAGGTGTTATTCGGGGCTTTGATCTGATCTGAGGTTTGGGGTCTTTTTCCAAGATCACTGGTTTTTGGCATAATTCAGATCCTGTTTCCCCCTTACTCTTGGTAGAGACCTCTCAGCTTCTAGAGGTCTTTACCTCTCCATAAGCAGTGCACCGCACTGCAGGAGACCCTCCTTTAAAGGATAATCTGATTGGGCAGGTTCACCCAGGATAAACTACCGTTTGAAGAACTCAAAGTCAATTAACTAGTTCCCTAATCATGGGAGTGAATTTCCATGACATTTTCAAGTCTCACCCACACTCAAGTGGAAGAGATCATACTGGGGGTGTACAGCAGGGACCTGACTGGGGTGGGCGCATTTTAGAGTTCTGCCTACCACTCTCTGTGTCTCAGTTGCCTCAGCTATAGAGCAGCTGGAAAATTATTTCTATTTCTTAAGATTTCTATTTCTGTATTTTCTTGATGACTTCTAAGGCCAGGATGAAGCTGTCTTTTGCAAGCAACTTAACTCTAATTTATTAGTGTCATCTTTTTTGAAAGTCTTTTCTCTCTTTGGGTTCCTTCTATCCTGGAAAGTAGTTGTGCTTCTTTCGTATATATTTTTTTTCTCATTTACTTGACTCTGATACTTATTATATCTTTTTCTAAGAAAACAGCTTTCTAAAAATCTTTTTAAAAATCAAAGCCAGGCTTATGGAGGTATAATTTTCATGAAAGAAAAGTCATCTCTTTTAGCTTATAGTTCTGAGTTTTGTTTTGTTTTTTAAATTCTTTATTGTTGAAAGTATTACTTATGTCTCTTTTCCCCCATCGACCTCTCCCAGTTTGACAATAGCATGGGGTCATGTAAATTACCACAATCAAGATATAGAATAGTTTCTCACCACACAAAAAAGTATACCCTTGTGTTCTTTGAAGTCAACCCCTTCCCTAACTCCCAGGGCCTGGCAACCACTGATATGTTTTCTGTCCCTAGAGTTTTGCTCTTTCCAGAATGTCATATTATGCAATTGTATGCCATGTAGCCTTAGAAAATCTAAATCTTGGAAGAAGTCATTTGGAGATTTATTCATAGTTACGTGTACCAGTAGTTCACTTCTTATTGTCAAGTGGGATTTCATTAGACAGATACTAGAGGCCCAGTGCACAAAAACCATTCCTGCACCCTCTCGCAGTCTGGGAGCCCTTGGGAGATGTCCAACTGCTGTCAGTTGGACATCATTAGCACTGCTATGGAGGTGGGAGAGGCTCCCACCAATGCTACTGCACTTGCCAGCCATGAGCCCTGCTTCTGGTTGAGCAGCACACCCCTGTGGGAGCACTCCTGCATTGAGCATTTGTCCCTTGGTGGTCAGTGTACATCATAGTGGCCAGCCATTCCAAAATCCGGTCAATTTGCATATTAGCCTTTTATTATATAGGACTAGAAGCCCGGTGCATGAAATTTTGCATGGGGGTATGTGTGTCCCTCAGCCCAGCCTGCACCCTCTCCCATCTGGGAACCCTTGAGGGATGTTAAATGGGCAGTTGGACATCCTTCTCACAATCCAGGACTGCTGGCTCCCAAATGCTCACCTGCCTGCCTTCCTAATTGCCCCTAACTGCTTCTGCCTGCCAGCCTGATCACCCCTAACCACTTCCATGCCAGCTTGACTGATGTCTAGCTGCTCTCCTGCCAGCCTGTTTGCCCCTACCTGTCCTTCCCTACAGGCCTGGTCACCTCTAACTGCACAGCAGTAAGAAGTAGAGGTGGCATCAGAGTCCAGACCCATCAGTCTCTCAAGCTTGTGCCCTTTGCAGCACATCAGTATTTCCCATGGGATTTTCTAAGGATTCTCCACAAAATATTACTGTTTCATAAGATATTCATATG